TCCATCTCTGCCTCTTGTCTTTTCCTCACTGCTACAGTCTCTAACCCATACAGCATAGCTGGTCTCACTACTGTCTGTTACACCTTTCCTTTGATTCTTGCTGACACTCTTCTGTCACACAACACTCCTGACACCTTTCTCCACCCACTCCAACCTGCCTGCACTCTCCGCTTCACCTCTTACCTACACTCCCCGTCACACTAGACTGTTGACCCCAAATACTTAAACTCCTGCACCTTCTTGACCTCTGCCTCCTGTAACCTCACTGTTCCACTTCCCTCCCTCTTGTTCATACACATGTATTGTGGCTCAAAGCCGATCCTTGATGTAGCCCCACCTCCACCTTGAACTCCTCTGTCTGACCTACACCACATCTCACTACTGTCGTACTCTTCTCATACATATCCTGAACTATTCTGATGTACTTCTCTGCCACTCCTGACATCCTCATACAGTACCATAGCTCCTCTCTCAGCACTCTGTCATATACTTTGCACATTTATAATTTTCATAATTGTTCACTCTCAAACAAAATGCATCTTCTCAAAAACCTATACATGCACCTTTATATGCAACAAGGACGCTAAAAATAATAATAATTAAAAAAAGTTGAATATTCCATCAAGAAAATAATTTATTACTATGGCAATTTAAAAACAGGCAAAAAGCAGCTCCTGCTGAGTAGCTGCTCTGTGACCACCTAATCTGCTGACAGAGAAAACTCTTCTCCTACAGCCATGAAGACTTGTGTCTGAATCCCTCAGTTCATCATCAGTGTTCCTTGAGCCTCTCCATTGGGTCACCACTCAGCCTATTGCTGTTGTTATTCATTAGGGTGTTGATGAGGAAAATGTGCCTTTTTAATGGTGTAACCAAGCAAAAGTAAATCAGTCAAGATATTTAGACACATGGAAGGCGTCCATCTACAAAACAAAGCTAACGGCTATAAACATCAGCATGCATAGCTTCCCATTTTTTATGTCATCAGTGCTGGGTGGTTTTCAACAAATTAACAAGCTCCAGCTGACTGATCCAATAGTCAAGCATATATTGATTTTTGCATTGTTATGAGTTATTTGGTCCAACCCAGCATATAAAGTTATTTGGCAGATATAGGTAATTTGGATAGGATTTACTAGTTCATGCCGTTCCAAGAACTTTTTTTTTTTTTTTTATATATAGTCCTTCAGCTCTATTATTGTTCCACACTCCAGCCCAGCAGGTGATGGTAATGCACCTTAGGTTGGCTTGCAAACTGTCAATAAACACCATAAAAAGAAGAAGAAGACTGGTCCAATCCATTTTGGTCTCGTCTGTGGAGTTCACTCTCCTCTCTGGACGTAGGTAAGAATCCTGGTGCAAAGGATTTCTGGTACAGGATATGTCCAAACTAGCCTAGATTCTTCCATGCAAAAAATCACTTTTGCTCAGTAATCAATCAGAATTTTCTTTCAATCAATCACTTGATTCAGTTAGCTCAGGCTCCCACTGATGAAGCCAGTTAAGCACACAAAGTGCAGTGAATGGCACAAGCTTTTCTTTACATGTACCCTTATGAGTAAAGCAGCTGATAACAACTGCGGTTAGTCAAGACAAACATTTAAGCTGAAGACTGAGGGATACACAGGACAACTGGTTGCTGTTTAATTCAAGAATAAGGCTCCAATAACAGGCATTAAAATGCCATCAATAAGAAAGACATACTACTGAAATCATGGTTTCAATGACACTTAATTTAGAAAATTGTTACACATTACAAACAATCAAGCAGTGCAGGTGCTATCACACACAACAAACCCAAATATTATCATTAACACGTCCTACGGCAAATTATACATCCGCATGCAATATGTATTTTAGTGTATTCTTAGTGTGGGTGATTGTGTTGCGATACAGAGGGGACTAATGCTCTTAGCTTTTCGCTGTCTATGTTCCTACTGACAATGTGCACCAAATGCTACTGGGCCCATCTGTCCTAGTATATAAAACAAGAGACACACTGATTGCTTTATGTCCTGCCATGGTCTTCACAAAAGAACACATATGCTCACTGTACTAGTTGTTAGTCATCAAGAATGCTAACAAAAATTTAAAAAACTATGCAAATGTAAGTGCCACAAAACACCAAAAAATATTCAGATTATCCACACACATAAGTCATGTGGCATGTTGTGAACTCATTTGTCAACATTACGAGTATGCAACATGCATGCTCCTTGCACTGCCACAGTATCCCTTGAGTGTGGGGTAAAACTACTGTAAGTTCATTTATTCATTTTCTACCGTTTAGTCCCTGAACGGGGTCACGGGAGGGGCCGGAGCCAATCCTGGCTGGCAATCGGGCGAAGGCGTGGTACACCCTGGACAGGTCGCCAATCCATCGCAGGGCTAACACATAGACAAACAACCACACGCACTCCTATGGCCAATTTTAGAGACACCAATCAACCTAAGCTGCATGTCTTTGGACTGTGGGAGGAAGCTGGAGTACCCGGAGAGAACCCACGCAAGCACGGGGAGAACATGCAGACTCCACACAGAAGGGTCCCGGGTGGGGCCCGAACCCGGAACCTTCTCGCTGTGAGGCAGCAGTGCTAACCACTGCGCCACCATGCTGCCCCCAAAAAACTACTGTAAGCTTTCTCTCTAAAAATGGGAAATAAAAATATCTGACTTAAACCCCTTTCAGAACTGCACTGCTAGCCAGCAATATGCCCACTATTTCACATCTACGTAGGTGTCATGTCTCAACAAAGCTCCGAGTCACACACACGTTAAAGTGGTACCTGCAGTTTTACCTGGTTGGACTTCGTCACATAACCAGCTACATTCTTACCAGCTACATGGCTGAACCTAAGTAGTCAAATTGCAATTAAGGGCACGGTCAAAATGACAAAAGTGCTACTTACTTGCACATAACATTTTCTCGAATGCACTGCTTTGTTCTTGCTAATGCTGCTCTCTCTTTTCATTCACTCTCTAGTTTACTCATCCACTACTGCTCGTGCCCCCCCTCCCCCTGCTAGTACAAAGTTTACTGGATACTGGTGCAATCGTGGAAATCAAAGAACTGCTCATCTTCCTTGTGGAGGATAAAAACAAGAAACATAAGATAAACAGTAAACAGCATTGTTTTGTGTCTGTTTCATGTGATACTGGATATCCCATGAACATTGTGGCTGCACCCAGCTGGATTCAGCTATGTCTGAACAAAGCCTTGCCAGACATTTTGCACACAGCAGCTTTAAGTATAAATATCAAAAAAGCAACTGTTACTCAGCTACATGTAGCCTGCAAATTCACAGCTGCCATGTCTCAATGGGGCCTTTACAGAAACACACAGCAAAGCAGATGTTCCAGTCCTGACATGGCTGTCATCTAAACTAAACAGTGACAAATTGAAGAATAATATGCTGGTCAAATTCTAGACCTGGCTCTAACTTGCAGATAGTTTACCAACTATGGCCCATAAAGCTGTTGCAGACTCTTTATTACCAAACGTCTGAGTACAGATATGAGCGATACCTGCTTATACTATACATCGCCATGGGTAGTGACTGACCTTGAGCAGCTGCAACATGCCCTCTCTGACGGCTCCACAAAATCCCAGGCTCCCACTTTTTCCATCAGCTCTTCTTCACAGGTACCATTGGTCGCAGCAGAAAACTTCCTCCTAGAGACATAAAAAAAAACATTTACAAACAGGTCTAGTGAGGGTGGGAGTTCAGCCACTTCCACAGTACTTTTTCCAAGCAGCATTACTTGTATAAAGACAGGGTGATTTTTTTTCATAGAAATTTTGAAACAAATCCTACAATTATTACAAAAGTATACTTAATCGTCTCATCTTTCAGAGATGGTGGCAACTGGTAAAAGCTTGGTGTTGGGGCTAATTTCATAGCCGTGCTTGGCGGAACAATATTCTAGCTTGTTTGTGCTGTTTTAAACTGAAAATCAGATTCTAAACAAACGAGCCAACTACTTCAACCGGTCTAAGGTTGTGTACAGGCCATATGCCATGCGCAGTGATAGTAGATGGTAATAATATTTGTTTATTGTTTTTTGTATTATTCAACACCAAATGCTGAATGTTGGCTGTAGGGCTTTAGGGGTGGCTGTGGCTCACGAGGTAGGGCAGTCATCTCCTGACCAGCAAGTTGATGGTTTGACTCCCGGTTTCCCCGCATGCCTAGGTGTCCCTGAGCAAGACACTGAACCCCGAATTGCTCCCGGTGGCTTGACTAGTGCCGTTGTGTGGCAGCTTGTCGTCATCGGTATGTGAATGTTGTGTGTGAATGGGTGAATGAATGGTGCATCATCTCCTGTAAAGCACTTTGGCCAGTGCAATACACTGTGGAAAAATGCGCTATATAAATACAGTCCAAAGCTTCTTAAATTTCCCACTACCCCAATCAGTACACAAAGAAGATATGTTAGGCTATGGCAATTTTCATTTGTAGTATGGTGAATCAATCTGTGCCACTTTCTAGAATCAGTGACAGACGTACTTGTTCTGGGCTTGGTTGATATTGCACTCTTGCCAGACACGCTCCACAACCTGGCTGGCTAGCCGCCGTGGAATCTTGCCTCCATGGTGACTTGTTCTGTCCACACTGAATACATCGGATGATGAGGGGATTTTAACCCACTTCTGGGCTGAGTGAGAGTCCACTGAAGAGGGAAACATCAAGGTCAACAGACCACTTGGCAAAAAACAACCAATGTAAGGATACAGATCATTTCAAGAGAAAGCCTCATTTGAAGCCTTTATTCTTTTGTGCTATAAATCTATGTTGTGTTTGTGCCACTACCTGTCTGCGCCGCCTCAGGCGATGTGGGAGGGGTGAGGGTCACCAAAGACATGGCAGGCTCTCGCTGGGAAGCAGGCACTTGGTGGCCACCCGAGTAGAGGGCAGTGCAGTGGGAGGACCCCACAGGGGCCACAACAGGGATGTCTGACTGGGGCACCAGCACCAGGCATGCTGGGTACACCATCCGCACACCACCTATACACACACAGGCAACATGTAGAGAAATCAAACAGGTTAAACCAAAGCAGGCAACTTCACAAAAATTAAACTTAATGATACATATTTTTAAAAACTGACCAACAAGGACCTCCACAGAGGCTAGAGAATCATCTTCCCAGTCCATGTCTTCCACTTTGTCCTCTGACACACTGTCCTTGGCGCTGGGGCTGATGGGATAGAACTGGTTCCACTCTTCAATAAGCTTCTGGGTGGGTGGATCTGACATCTTGAACGACTGGCCTGTCAGTGTCCCATTCAGGCCGAAAGGACTCAAGATCACTAATGAGAGCAAAGGATGGAAAGGAGAGGAATACAAATGAATGTCAGTGAGTAAACTGTAAGTGGAGCAGCTATTAGACCAAGCATACATCACTCACTAGCAATGCACCTCCACACATCATCTTTCCTTCTCGTCTATGTCAATTCCTTTCTCATTTTCCTTCTGTATAACCTTGAAATGTCCATGTTTTTTCAGATTTTCTTTATGGCTTCAATATTTTTTATTATATTGCTTCTGTTTCCAGTTTATCCATTTTCTGCATCCTTACACTGGCTCCATAGCTCTAGGTTCTAGTTTTAATTCCTTCTCCATTCTCCTCTACTCTCCCCAGGCTTCAGGGGAGGTGACAGTGGTGCGGTGGGTAGAGCAGTTGTCTCCCAACCAGAAGGCTGAAGGTTCGAATCTCGGTGCCTGCAGTCCACGTGTCAAAGTGTCCTTGGGCAAGACACTGAACCCCCCGTTGCCCCCGATGGCTAGAGCCATCGGTTCTGTACCAGAAACAAATTCCTTGTGTGTAACATACTTGCCTAATAAAGGTGATTATCCTTATCCTTCCTTTCTTACATTGTCCCTCTTTGCTTCTTTACCTTTCATCCTTCTCATTTCTTCCTATGCTCCTGTGTTGCTTGTATCCTTTATCATCTATCCATCCTTAAGCCCTTCTTATTCATGCTTCACTCCATTCCCTTCATTTTCTTTTCCCATTTTACTCTTGCAACAATCCATTGCTTGTTATTTCAATCTTAATTCCTTTCTTACTTCTCCCATATGCTTTCCTCTTATTGTCTTACTGCCATATCTTGCCAAATCAGCAGCATTCTGACCTTTCCAGAGCATCACTGGACCCAGCTGGTCCCAGCTGACTTGCCAAATACTTACAGAGCAATCCAGACAGCAATTATTGACAAGTGGTGGCCTCTTAAAGCCTATAAACAGAGGCTTATAAAAAGGGCCACTCCTTAGCAAACACACCTGACTGCACAGACATAAGGGAGTCACACAGTGAGTCTGCTTAACACCTACATCAATCAAAGAATTCAGATTGCACCATAAACCAACATGAACAATCCATACACATGAGCAAATAACCACAGACACTGTATGCACAATAACCTAAAGTGTGTGTATGCATTATTACACACACAAAACCTGTCAGCTTGTTACGCATCAACTCCCTTTCTCTGTATCTGTCATAGATTTGAATGTGAAGAGGGAGTACGAATGGTTGTAAAAACAGACTAGCTAGGTAGGTGGGTGGGTGTGTGAGTAAGCATTTGGTGATGTCCCTCTCTGCTCTGCTTTCTAGTGCATCATCACTAAACTGGATGTCTTCTGTCTCCATATATCGATCCTGTGGTTGGATCATAGAACAGGTTCCAGGATTGAAAATGGGATAAGACAACAGAAAGAAAGAGGTAGGAAAAGATAAGCACTGTGTTAGCAATGTTTCAGCAGAAGGGTTTCAGGGCCTAAGGGCACCATCTTGAGAAGGGGGTGGGGGGTTGTAGATGGTGCGGTTCATCTGCCAGATCTTAACACTTAAATCTGGAATCCTTAGGACTGAAATCAAAGCCTACTTTTGAAATTATTTATCATGAATTTAATCCGCAACAGTGCTTCAACAAATTTCGGTTCAATAATTATAATATAGCAGTTTTTATCTGAAGCGTTGCAGCTGGCCATTCCCAAGAAGGATTCAAACTGCCTTCCTAAGCACCAGGAATTCACAGGCAACAATCCAGGGCAATTTTATCTCACTGGTATCAGCCTGGCTGTTTACTGATCCTCTCTTTATACCATGTCACATCTGTATTATGTTGCTGCCAACACAGACCAAACATTTTTATTGTGATGGCTTCACACTACAAGTATTCCACCAGCAAAATGCTTTTGTTTTGATGCAGACACAGGACACTGCATATTTATTACCATGTGCAGGTCAGACCATGATCATTCATCAAAATGTGCCAACAAAACAAGAATTTTCATAAATGGATCATTTTTAAGTTTGCTAAAGGAGTAATGGAACAAACAGGAGTAATGTTTCATCAAGAGCTTCAGGTGACAGGCTGCACACCCCCAACGTCTGTGTAAGGTAACCAATTTTATTGTGCCCTTCGGTTGTACTTCTGAAAAAGTAGCTGCTCAAGTAGTGTTTAATATTAAATGACACTTGCTGTGAACTCAGTAATCACGGGCGTCACAGAATCAACCAGGACTGAAATCTTAAAGAATTTAAAAACCGAAAGATATGGAAATTGCTGGCTTAATAAAAACATACTGATCCAACACTTCTGGAAAGTTTAAGGATGTGGCTGGCAGCTGGTGGTAGAAGATAAGTAACACAGAAGGGGAATAGCAACACTGTTGAGCGTGACCAGGCAAAGTTGGGCACCTAGAAAAATATTCTTTACTGCTGTCTAAACATAATGAATACTGAATACCTCTTAGCATAATGTTTCAGCTCAAGCCTACAGGACAGAGGCAAGCAACAGTATGTTATTTATTTTGTTGTGTGCAGCATCATCTGGCTATGGCTGATCATATTAACCTCCATTAAAATTTAACCAAACTCCTTTTCACTTTGATTTCTGTCTTTCTTGCTGCAAACACACTACTAAGACCTGAGGCCAGCTGTGGAAGAGAGATCAAATTCAGCACAATTATGCTTTACCATCTTCCACATCACCACCCTACCGCACCCTCCCCTCACTCCCCCTGCCTGTGAGTCTATCTGTGACTCCCTGAAGACATGTCAAATGTGCTCAGATCAGTGTAATGGGCTGAGAGTTCATTACATTCGCTCTGCGCCTTTTTATGAGGTCACATCCTGGAGAGTTCTGCCTGCCGGAGCGCTCTGCTGCACAGTAAACCAAGCTTGGCAGAGGTGATGGGGAGGGAGAGGATGGGGAGGAGATGGGTGGATGACGGGGGATCGAAGTCGTTATGCTTGGTTAACCAGGAGGAGAAACACTGCGGCACTGAAAAAACACACCTGTGCACGGACACACACACACACACACCACACCCCAGCACTGATTGTAAAATTCATACACACTACAGAGGCACGTCTACTTTGTATATATAAATCTGTGTTCTCAACAAGGGGTGCAGGTACATCCAGCCAATGATGTTCTCAGTATGACCCATCCAAATGAGAACTGATTTTAGTTCAACAGTTCAGTATTAAGGCACGCCACAAGAATTCAGCACACAACTGAAGCAGTGTTATCTACACAAGTCCTTCTATGGTAGTGTGGACAAATTTTACTTCTATTGTTGAGGGGGCACTTTCACATTGTGTGGATATTTTGACATGGTCTTCACACCGTGGAAAGGCCTGTTGTAATAGTTATAACGGTTAAGGTGAGGGTAAGAGGCTAGGGGAGAGATTGAGTGTCCCCATAGCTATAGTAAGACGTGTGCGTGTGCGTGTGCGTGTGTATAAGAACATGAAACAAAGTCCTGAACTTTACGACTGGGAAAACAGAAATAAAGATAGTTGATCAAAAGCAGGGATTCACAAACCAATAAAGTGAGTCATAAGTAACTCTCTACTAGTTGGTGACTTGGGAGCAGTATGATCATCCTAAATGACTTTTAAAACCCATCAACATCCTTACAGGAATACATATGCCAAATTCCAATAATTGTTTTATTTTTATCAAAGGCACTGGTCTTTAGCTAGATGAACATTATCACTTCCTTTCAGGACAGATAAGGAGTTGGCTGTACAGGAATTACTGCGGTGAATGGAAGAAGTGATCACTGTTATTACTCTGAAAGGGGCATATGGGGAGTGGGGGGCTGATTCACATCTACCTAAAGCCAAATGAGAAAGCTAAAGAGGAAAAAACTTTCCTCAGGGCTCATGTGTCACTCAGTATTTTTGAAGAAGGGGTAAATTAAGAATTTTTAAGTGAAATCATTGTCCAACTCTAATCAAAAGCCTGCTGTGACAGTTTTCTAGAAACGAGTAAGAAAATGTGTGTTTATTCAGAAACATACAACTTGTGTGTTTTATTTTGAGTCTGGTACAGAAAAGTACAAAAAAATATATATAAAACACATGAGAAGAGCTGGATAATATTTGGTAAAGCTACCCATACATTTGATACAAATACCAACAGGACAGATGCGTGGTACTTGCATGGAGTCATTTTAACCTAATAATGTTATTCAGAAAAATTTCCTGTATATTATGTATATTACAGACATTACATTAACATCTGAGAGGAAACAATGGTTTTGGGATTCCACAGGCTTTGGTTTAGGGAGGGGCAACGAATTAAAGCCAATAATGGATTATCATTAGGTCTACAGATTTTTGTAACTGCACTACACTGTAATTTATAGTGGCTTTCTTTTAAACTGGCTGCAGGCCAATCTGTAATGAAAGACAGCCTGGCAGTAGATTGTAAATGTATCAGCTTAGCAACAGCACCAAACACAGCAAACACACACATCTCACTAATATATGTCATTGATAAAATTACATTTACACTTACATTAAATCAACAACATAGCAATAAGACCAAAAACAAGAAAAATAAAAACACAAGATATAAATCGAAGACTAATGTGAGGCTTCCATATCAAATATAAGTATAAAACAGCAAGCTAAAAGACATCAACATGATGCCACTGGAGCAGATTAAGCCCAAAAAGCCTGTCTAAAAAGATAAGTTTTTAGTTTGGACTTAAAAAACGATAACTCAGTTATGGACCGTAACTCGGGCGGTAAGGAGTTCCAGAGCCTGGGGCGGTATACGGCAAATGAACGATCGCCCCATTTTTTGTACTTAGTCAGCGGGACAACCAAGGACACTAGCTCTGAAGAATGCAGCGTCCTAAGTGGAGTACGAATGGACAGCAGATCGGACAGATATAGTGCAGCGAGTGAAGAACAGGGGTGATGTGAGCGTACTTAGGGGTATTTGACAGTAGACGAGCAGCAGCGTTCTGTACCAGTTGAAGCTTCCAAACAAGAGATTAATTCCGATATAGAGGGCACTGCAGTAATCAAGACGCGAAGTGATGAAGGCATGAATGGCTTTTTCTAAATCTATATGTGACAAGAAGGGCTTCACCTTCGTTAAAAGCCTCAGGTAAAAGAAGCTAGTTTTGAGCACAGATCTGATCTGTTTGTCAAATTTGAGGCTGCTGTCAAACAACAAAACACAAACAACAGGTTTTTGACAGTATCAGTAAGTAATGGGGCTGAGGCCCCTAGATTAGGTACAATAGCGGAAGGGTCAGGACTAAAAACAATGTATTCCGTCTTACTTTCATTTAGGTGAAGAAAATTCTGTGATAGCCAATGTTTGACATCACAAAGGCAGTCATGCAACAGGGTTAGAGCATTTGAGTCATGTTGCATCAGCAGCAGGCAGATCTGAACGTCATCCGTATAAAAATGAAAGTGAACACTGTGCCTCGATATGATTGAGCCGAGTGGAGACATATATAAAGAAAAGAGTAACAGAGCCAAAACTGGGCCTTGTGGGACAGCAGAAGAAAGAGGGGCAATGGCAGAGGAATAGTTGTCAATAACGACAGAGAAGGACCTATTCGTTAGGAAAGACGTAAACCAATTTAAAACCGTGCCTCTCAGGCCAACGTAATGTTCCAGAAGGGAAAGAAGAACTGCATGGTTGACGGTGTCAAAACGGACGAAAAAATGATAAGAAATAGCCAAATTTGATACATCCCCAACGCACACAGACAATCCCCGTGAGATGACGAGGTCAAGTGTGCCCCCACGTTGATGAGTGGGGCATACTACTGACTAGGTGAGATCAAAAGAGTCCAATAGGGAATTAAAATATTGTATAAAAATACAGTTTCCTTATTTACTCTAATATATTCTACCTGATATCCTTGGGTCAGCAAGTTGTGTGCTTTGCTCAACAAACTAAAGCCCTTTTCAGACATGCACTGCAACCCTGAACTTATCTAGACATAACCTGAATGTGCTGTATCAGGGCTCTACTGTGTGAGCATTTTACTCGCATGTTCGAGTAAAATCAGAATGTGCGAATGTAAAAAACGTATTTGGGTGCATTGGTGCAACTGACTCTGAGTTCCTTGGATCTCAGTTTGTGAGGAGGGGGAGCACTGTGACAGTACATAAAGAGACCCGTGAGTGAGCTGAATTGACCTCCTCTCTGACACCTCTCCTCTCTTTGACGGAGGGCGGTGCTCGGCTCCTACACACACAGAAGAGGATGTTTACTAAACCTGTCACAAATAACCATTAGATGTATAAAATTTTGCGTTGCCCCAATTTTTTAATTTAGCAGCATATTTACCAATACGAATGATGTAAATGAGCACGGCTGTGTTAAATCGAGCACATCACCACTTAGGATCTGGTGCCTGTATTGCACATGATCGAGAGGAAGCGTAGAAGAAAGTCCAAGTTTCCAGCGACAGAACTTTAAAATGGCAGAAGAAATCAATATAGAGTATGTATTGTGGAACTGCAATCCCATAGTATTCTGCCAGTCAAATCATCTTTTATTTCATTCAGTAACTGAAGTAGAGTTTGAAAGCCTGTCAAAGTTTCTCACAGTCTGCTCTGGCCAGCGATGCAATTTACAAACATCCTCTCCCTCCTCAAACATGTTTTGAACTCCCAAAAGATCTCTGATGAATAACAGCTGCCCTACAGATAGCAGCTAGCACTTGTTTCTCCTGATATTAAACTTCAGCCGCAGCTCCCTCTATGGCAAGATGTGATAAATCAGGTGCTGAGGGTATCTATATAAGTCTCCTCCCTCAGTTTTACATCCCAGTGGTCCAGCCATCTGAGCGTTCAGGAATGTGTACAATATGCGCTACTGGATTCTGTCAGCTGATTCTGGCCATTAAACCTTGGAATAGATGGTTCAAAGGCAGTTTTGAAGCAAAAAGTTGAAAGAAACCAAGAAGCAAAATATTGTGGTAGTATTTATTTCCTCCCACAAAATAAGTCCAAATATAGTGAGCTGTTTGTTCACCTGTCACATGCAATATGTCAGACACCACCCATCACAATTACAAAACTTGTGTCCTCCTTGCCATACCTGTTTCTGTGTATGCCTCATCTGTTTATGCAGATGAGATACGGATCAGATTTTTAGGCAATGTTGACATAATGTGTACCAGCACTGGACTTTTTATAATCATGTCCTGATGCAAACTTACTTCTACAATTTTATATCAGATGAGGTTACATATGGTATGTGTTTTAATTGGCCCAAACTTGGCTGCAGAATTCACAAAGAATGCAGTGTTTGCTGTTTTCGTCAGGTAACATATTAGCTTTAATTGTGTTAGCTTAGTCAGTGCCCGTGTGAGTACAAAGCTGCTAGATGTATTGGAAACCCACCTTGGAAGGGGCTGGATGCCTGCTGAGCCAGGGTGAGGTGCTCCTCCGTCAGATGGTAGACGGGCTGGTGCTGGTTGATCTCCACACTGGTGCACACATTGCTCTCACCGTGCAAGAAGAAGGTGAAGGCGCAGGATAGGTGCTCGCTGTATAGAGGAAGAGGCGGGGGGGAAGAGCGAGAATAGTCATTTGGGATCAAGCTACTTTAATATGCACATTTGAAAAGGCTTCTGATGAATAAATCCAATAGAGTATGAGGTGGAGAACTGACTCCTGTGAAAAAGGGAAACAGATCAGATAGTCTACTTCATGTTCCTGTTCACAAAGAAAGCAAAGACCTGGCAGGGAGGGGAAGGGTAGAGAGAAAACGAGATTATAAAAAACTTTTGTCTTTTTTGTCAAAGGCTATAATGGATTCTCTCCTCTCATTCATATTCTGCTGCTTTAATACGAGAGAGTCCTGGTAGGAAAGAACAGCTACAAGTAGGAATGTCCTGAAACCAATACCAGTGTCGAGTTAGATACCACCCCCTACTAATACTTCTAAAATTTGCCCGATACTATGCATCAATACCACTTAACAGCAACAGTATGTTAACTTTATGATGGCTGAGCAGGTTATTGAGGGGAGAAGAAATGTTTGTGGTTTTGTTCTATTTTAGGATGAGTGGTGGTGACAAAAAGCAACTGCAAGCTCTCTTCTTTGCTCAGTATGTCTGGAGTGACGTTCATAGACACACACACCCAGGGCTTCTGTGAGCTCATGCAAGTGGGCAAGATGAGCAGAATCTCTGTGAGTGACACAGCAGCGCTCCAGGGCTTCTGTGAGCTCATGCAAGTGGACAAGATGAGGAGAATCTCTGTGAGTGACACGGCAGCGCTTGTCATGGGCAACAAAACTCACCATTACTGTCAAGAGTAATGGTGTAAGTCATTTATCAAACACCTATTGAACAAACAGGAAAAAAAGAAAAACTCAAAGAACCATGACATCTTCACTCTCCCTGTTTTCAACTCACCTGGTCACCCACTAAACCCATAAAGTGCTCCTTAAGACGATTCTAATAAACTGTTGTGAACTAAATGAAAACACACACTCATTTTAGGCAGTTAACAGCACAGTCTAATGAACCCTGTGTATGAAAGTTTTTGTAGACTCAAAAGGTTAAAAACTACTGTATTTCAGTATGGTTTATAATAGGTCAAAGGTCAAGGTCAAAGGGTTTATTTGTCATATGCACAATTAGTGAACGTGTTTCCCTGTACAATTAAATTTTTACTTTGCCGTCCACATGAATGCCACACAATACAAGTGAAATATAAAGTAGATGAGCAATAACACAAATCTAAGGCACTTTAAAGCAGCAAGTGAAAGAAGCACAATAAGAATACAACAAGAACACAATATAATGCAGACAGAATATATGCTACATGGGAGCCGTGAAGTGCAAATACTCAGCAGTGAGTGTGCAACTATGCATGTGCAAACTGAGTATGTAAGCAGTACAGATGGAATTATATGAGGTAGATCGTGAGTCTGCTGTTTAGGAGTCTGATGGCAGAGGGAAAAAAAGACTTTTTCAGTCTAGAAGTCCTGTTTTCACACTTCTGAGCCTCCGACCAGAGGGCAGGGGTATGAACAGTCCGTGCTTGGGGTGGGTGGGGTCTTGAGGATGGAGGCAGCTTTCCTACGCACCCTGCAGTGGTAAATGCTCTGCAGAGAGGGCAGTGGAGTCCTGGTGATCTTTTCCACAGTCTTTACCACTCTCTGCAGGTGCTTGTCCAAGTGAGGTCCTCACTGATGTGGATGCCCAGGTATTTGAAGCTGCTCACCCTCTCCACTTCGAGCCCCCGGATGAACAGTGGCTGATGAGATCTCCTCTCCTTCCTCATGTCCACTATCATCTCCTTCATCTTGTCCGTGTTGGGGCTGAGATTATTGTCCTTGCACCATGACACCAGACCGGCCCCCTCCCTCCTGTAGGCTGCTTCGTCCCCGCCAGTGATGCGACCTATCACTGCGGTGTCGTCCGCGAAATTTAGGATGATGTTGTCTTTGTGGGAGGTGACACAGTCGTGGGTGAACAGGGTGTAGAGGATGGGACTGAGGACACATCCCTGTGGGGTGCCAGTGTTTGTAACAATGCTGGCTGAAATCTAATTGCCAATCCTGACAGTCTGGGGCCTGCCAGTCAGAAAGTCCAGGAGCCAGTCACAGAGGGTGGGGTGCAGACCCAGTGTGGACAGTTTGTGGGTGAGTTTGTGGGGGATAACTGTGTTGAAGGTGGAGCTGTAGTCAATGAAGAGTATCCTAATGTAGGAGTCTCCATTTTCTAGGTGAGAAAGGGAATAGTGGAGGGCAGCCATGATGGCGTCTGAGGTGGCCCTGTTGGGCCGGTAGGCATACTGCAGGGGGTTCAAGGGGTCCGGTATACTGCTCTGTATGTGGGCCAGCACCACTCTCTCAAAACACTTCACATTGATTTGGGTTAGTGTAATGCAGGTGGGAACACTGTGCCGTTATAGAGTACTGCTGCTATCTGTTTCTCTGTATCATCAAGTATTCAAACATACCATCTTTTCATACAAAGACTCACTATATAGGTGCATCAAAGTGTTCTGACCACTGCACAGCTCTAGGTCCCCATATCACTACAGATGACGATGAAGTGTCTGTTGCATCCTTGCGCTGTAATGTTTAACATGGAAGTACAGTGTGTACAGAAGTCAGGATGAAAGAAAGTCAACACAGCAGTACTCAGAGGTGGTTTGAGTGTACAAGTGTTCTGTCTATGTAGTGTGGCTAGCGCTGTGTGTAAAACAAGGGGGCAAGCCCTGACTAGCCTAGCTTTTTGGCTAACACACACACAACAGTACCTTTTCTCTTCCTCACACACACCCATACAGCTCTTCTGCGTACAAAAACACCTGCCTGCCAAATCTGGCCTCAAGAGCACACAACAAAAGAAGAAAAGGAAAGCAAAACAAGGCAGATGGAAGGAGAGAGGGACAGGGTAAAATGCAGGCCATCATCTGCGGGCTTTCCACTCTCATCTACCTCTCTAGACTCATCCAACATATACATCCATAAACACACAAAGTCACACAAATGCAAAGAACAGGAGACAGCGCAAGTGACGGATGAAAAAAAATGAAAGTGGAAGCGGGGACGTTTGGAGTGGATCAAGGAGGGTTGTCCCCACTGAGGTTTTTGTTAAGCAAATAGTCTTCTCTCCCTGTGTCTCTCTGTGGCACACCTACTCTGCAGAGGATTAACGAATGAGAGCAGAGAGGGAGAGCGAAGCAGATAGCTAGAAACAAGTGGGCTAGTGAAAGTGAGTGAGAGCAAGTAGCAGATGATGACCCTGTGATCAGATGGAGCATGTTTTAACAGGCTGGGGCGGGCAGCTTTATGTAAATGTTTTCAATGTTTTGCCGCTCTATGTACCTTAGGTTTTTAGCAGGAACACCCTGATCGCCTCCAGTTAGATGAATGACCTTCAACTGAGAGCAGGAAAGCACCCCACATCACTGGTCTGCTTTTTCCACTGTCCAATCAGATGAATTGAGAGGAGAGCTTTCTGTGGTGGTGACCCATAATTTTGTGTTGACCTACCGTAGACAAAAACTCAGCCACTCAGCCAAACAGATGGACTGTGTAGTCAGGTGTCATTTTGGTGATACGAGATCGACAATTGATGGCGGACTGTCACATTGTCCCTGACTCATCCTAAAATTGCCCTGAAGTGACAATCATCCATGATCTCTCCTCATTCTGAGAGTGTCCGGTAGGCTGCCCACATGGATCTCGTTTGTCTGTTTGAGAACAGACTCTCACCCCTAGTCAGAGCCAGAGCAACTGCCCTCCCCCTGTTCATTTTCATACTTGCATAATAACTAAGATAAGACAATGATAATATATGATTTATGTTTAGATAAATGATGAATGTTATTCTAAATATTTTAATTGTGGTTGGCCTAGGGATAGTAATTCTGTGGTTACCTGGTGACAAATTTTTTTTTTTTTTTAAAGTCCAGCAAGCTCCTCTATTTATTTATTACAGGCTTCCAGGCTTCAACAAAAAAGGCAGTGTGATGCACCTCTGTATGATCATGGCCTCAGACATCCTCAGGAGTTTTCTACTGTATTATCCACATTTCAGTGTTTATATATTAGACCAGGGGTCCCCAACCCCCGGTCCATGGATCATTTGGTACCGGGCCACAAAGAAAAAATTTTGTGGTTAAAATTATAGTTATTTTTCTTTCATTAGTCTTAGTTAGAAAAACGACTGTTCCCGCCCTTGCCTCACTAACCCATTTGACTCTGGCACACCATCTTACGCATCAGCAACACAAGCTAATCCTTTAAAACAAATGAGCCAAAAACAAAATTCGCTGGAGAGCTTTTTCAAAAAGGAACGAGCAAACGATGGGACTGCCAGCAAAAAAAAAGCTGCATTTAAAAGAAAATTCCACGATTCCTACCTAAGTTATGGGTTCATCGCAACAGGTGATAGACAAGCTCCACACCCGCTGTGCACAATTTGCAGTGACTGATAAGCTAATGAAGCCAAAACACCATGAGTTAAAAGACAAGCCCTTGGAATTTTTTTCTAGTTGCAGGGAAACAAGCCCAGGGCTCCCACTGACTCTGCATTATGGTGAGATGATATTATAGTGTAGAATTATTGTAATTGCCTAAAATAAAGTGTAATTGTTGCAGTCATATTACATACTATAAACTGGCAAAGGTTTTTGTTATTGGAACCCCCGCGCCTCTACCCAGTCCGCAGAAAATTTTTCATGTCCCTGGTACAAAAAAGGTTGGGGACCACTGCATTAGACTGCTACTGCCATGAAATCATAGGACAGAGTTACTGCCAACTGTAATCACTCCTCTTCCATTACTGGTAATGGACTTGACTACAATATAAGTGATGGCAGGTCAAACGAAGGAATCCTTGTTCTATGAAAAAACTGCATTCTTATGTTCATCTAAGACTAATAAAAGGTTTCAGGAGTTACTGGGCAATCATACTGCAACAGCCTTGCATTTTTTGTAATTTAGCTGAAGCTACTATATTCTACTACTACTGCTGCTACCATACTAGACAAATCAAGTGGAGTATCTTTCAAATATGGC